TAATCATTCACTGCTCTGCCAATCAGATAAATGTGTATATTAATCAGAGTATACTGCTCCAGCTGCTTACTGCTTATGCTACATTATGCTACTGCTCATCAAAAAGCTATACCAATCAAGGCATTGAGTCATAACATTTTCTCTGTTTGGGTTAACACAAGCGATTCTAGACTACTTCGAAAAAACGTCGAGGCTTTTAAAACGTCAAAATGACATATGATTTTTTTGTTTCTCTTTTCAAAAACTGATTTATCTATATATAATAGCAAACCCAAATAAATAAATATTTTTGGGTTATGAATTTTTGTAAAAAACTGCTTATTAGTTATTTTTATTGTTATTTTCAAAAATTGCGTCTTTTCAATATAACCGTTTTGTTAAGGGTTGCATCTTTCCGATATAACTGTTTAATAAAGAATTACGTCTTTTCAATATAACCGTTTTCTACTTTTCTCAAAAGTTGTGTTTTTTCAATATAACCGTTTTCTCAAAAGTTGCGTTTTTTCAATATAAACATTTTGTCAAAGGTTCCGTCTTTTCACTATAATCGTTTAATCAAAGAGTTGCATATTTTCGATATAAAAAATCGCTTTATGGTTATTTTTTCAAGGGTCACGTCTTTTAGAAAAAATGGTTTTGCTTATATATTTGTGTTCTATACTCTTTTTCCCGTTGAAATTTTTGTTAATCATGGCTACTAATTGTTCAATTCACTTAAAGCATAAAAAATATCGTTCTATTATTTTGAACTTATTTAAAGTATAGATGTTTTTATTATTGTAGAAGTTTTAAAAATTCTTGATTTGTGTAAAGAAATTTGGATTTCTATAGACAATGCAGATTTTAAAGCAAGTTTTAAATACTTTGGAATGCAACGTCAATTTTCCAACATAAAAGTAATGAAATTTTCAAATCTATTTTTCTCGAAAATGGATGGTGCATGTAGTGAAATTTTTTTTAATTTAACAATTATCTTAAATGTTTTTGATTATTTATACATGAAATCAGTTTTTATGGTTTGCATACATCGAAATATTGAAGTCGCATCAACATTGTTCTAATGGTTAGACAGAGAGATATGATTCCAAACCGTAAACTGCGTGTGGAAGTAAAAATGTTTCTCACTTACATTATTCATTTGTCTCAATATAAATTTATGGTTGTATTTTTGGGTTGTATCTTTTTGATAATAACCACTTAGAGGTTATTTTTAAAGATTATATAATCATTTTTTGAAGGGTTGCATTATTCTATTATAACCGCTTTATGGTTATTTCTAAGGGTCGTGTCTTTAATTTCGATATAACCGTTTTCTCAAGAATTGCGTCTTTCCGATATAAAACCGATTTATGGTTATTTTACAAGAGTTGCGTATTTTCGGAAAAAAAAGTGTAGCCTATATATTTGTGTTCTTTAGTCCTTTTCCCGTTGAACGTCAGCCACCAGTTTCATCATCTTTTTCTCAATCTTACCACAATTTGATCTCAGAGAACGTCACTCCCAGGGCCGGAATCGGTCATCTCATCGTCGTCGTCAAGGATGACAATAACAAAAAACAACAATGTCTTAGTTTAGCCTAGGTTGGTGGATTATTAGAACGCTCTAGTAGATAAGTCGGAGGAGACGTCGTTAGTCGTTGGTCGTCGTTCACGTGGCAGACCACCAAGATCTAAAAACAAACCTAAACCTTTGACTGATCCCTTGTATTTAAATGTTGAATTTGAAATGATACCAAGCAGTAGCATTAACACTACTCCAAATAAGTTGAAATTGTAAGTGTTATGACATTTACACAATCTATCAATGATTACCTTATTAATACTCTTTAACATTTTTAGACATAAAAAAACTGTTTGCATTAAATTTATAGGAAAGAAAGACGATCATGTATAAAAGAACCAATTAATAACTTAATGCAATGTAGATATTGTAAAACTTGGGTATGATTATTAACTTATTAGAAAGCAAAGAGAAAGATATTGGTAGTAAAAGTCATTTTGTTCTCAATTTGTTGCAAACAAGATCTAAATTTTTTTTTCTTCATTACATATTTTTCGTAAGTATGATTTGGGTTCAACTTGAGAAATGATAATAACCATGATTTAAAATTGATTAGAGATGATTATAGGTTTACGTTCACATGCATATATGTCGAAAATAAATTGTATATTTGGCTGTGTTGACAATAATTTTTAAAAAAATATATAGTTTGAGGTTCTTTACCCCCGCGATTTCGCGGGAGTTCAAGTCCTAGTATATATATAAAAAAAGATAACATTACAATTGCTTGATAGTTTTGGTTTCCATTCGACAGCACTTTTACTCGTAAGAGGGGATTTATCAGACAACAACTGCAAGAAACAAAATTCACTCATTCTCCCTTTTGCCATTTTTTGCCGTTTTCTATTTCTTTGATTTTTTTTTAATAATTAATATTTTATTCATCTTTCTTGTTCTTCCTTTCTCGGATACATTTAAAAATTACAACCAGTTCTTCTTTGATTATTGTTTCTTTTATTGATTCATAGGACCAATTCTAATTTGAACCCTTCTTCAAAAGAGTTTTAAAAAACCTGATATTCGGTGCTAATTTTTTTTCAAAGAAGATTAAAAGCATTGTTACTATCACAACTCAAGTGGGGTGACACACTGATATTGACTCTTAAATCAATGACATAAACTCGTGTACCTTGTACAAACACAATGGTTTTGAATGGTGATAATATGGTGTAAAAAAAATAGGTGTATGACGGTTCAAATAATAACAAAAATTGATAAATATATATATGTAAATATACTTTTCGCTATTTTTATTACGAGATATATCGTCCCCATTCGGAGCTTGTGTGAATCACTTGGTCACTTAGAAGCAGTCTAGAGTTTTTATTCATGTTAGATTTGCAGAAACCTTCTTCTCAAATACTTGCTCAATTTCGTGAATAATTGGATGAAATTTGAATATTCTGATACTAAATGTAAAAGCTCGAGACCGAGTCCAAAAATATAAGGTACTGCTGCAATCACATGAATAATATAAATGTTTTAAAGACTTAGCACAAAGTTTTACACAACCCTTCAGATCCATATTAATTGACCAAAATCTTTAGTGTAATGTTTGCCACTTTGCCTAACAAGAAAATCCTCTTTTGAAACAGAGCAACCACACACAAAAAAAAATTGGAAGCTCTTAATAGGGTTTTGCTCTTCTTGGTCATAGTTTTTGCTATTTTTGAACCAGTCCAACCTCAAGATCAACCAGGTTCTTACTCGTTTTTCCTTTAGTTTTTTATAATTGATGGCTTTGATTACTCTGCAGATTAAACCCCTTTTTAAAATTTGCTTGTTTTTTGGGTAATAAATCTTATTAGAATAGCTTTATTGCGTTGTGTTTATAATAGGAGATAGCTTTAAGATGATCCGAACACCCAAATCATATAGAGAAATTTAAAAAAATACTAATTTTCAAGTGCCATTTTACAAAAATACCACCTTTTTACAATCTTTACAAAAATGCCATTTTTCAAAA